TGCTCCAGTTCTCTCCTTCAGGATCTGTGATTTAATTAATTTTACTACCTTTATCTGGGATCTCTTTGCCCCGCTGCAGCAAGATTCCACTCATGAAATTTAAATATTGAAAATATTCACTGCCAACCCATTTGTTATTCTTGAAAGATTTCCAGGACAGTTCTATTGCTATTAGACCTTCCCGCAAAACAGAAACTTCTTAGACTGTATCTTTTGCTTTGCCTATTAATCCAAATAATTGGATTTATTTGAAGAAACTGTGAGTGAAAACATGGCAACTATCACCCCTTTAAAGTTTCACTGTTTTGTCTCTTTTATAACTGAATATGGAAATGCAAGAAGAAATACTGGAGGTGAAGAAAGGGTTGTCGTATGCACTGTTTTGTAACTGCAATGTGTAAACTTTGAACAACCTATAGCATTTTACAACCTTGAACATTGTATAATCTTGTAATCGTGATTCAGTAGTTTTAGTGCAAAAATAATTTGAGATGATTCAAAGCTCGTGCATGTAACAAGATGGGGACAAAACTACTACACTGCATGTTTCATCAATAATTTCCCTAAAACATTGTTTGCTATAATTGGTTCATTGTCACTTAATTAAATTGCACCTTCTTACATGGTGCAGAGCATAAGAAGCAGTGTTCTCAGAATAGGTCCGTGCTATATACAAGCCAACAGAAAAGAAAAATGCTGTCTAGTGATATAATGTCAATAATTAGCAGGCAAGATTTGGACAATGGCTTTTCTGGATCCTATGCACGTAGGAATTGTTGCCTGTAACAGAATATTCTGCAGCATGGTAAATTCAAGACTAAAGTGCTGATGTCAGCTCTGTAATTCAAATAATAGTTTTAGTGTCAGAATCCATATACCTATTCAGCCTAGCTTTAGTACTCTTACCTTTCTAGCAGATATTTCTGAACATACATTTTTCTTTTACACTCCCATCCCTTTTTCTTTCATTATCTTTTGCTGTATCAATAATAGGGAAGGTAATAAGCCTGATACCTTATCAACCTTCTAACTTTTTTCCCTTGATGTGTGTAGGGTTCAGAAAACTGTCAAAATCTGCAAATACTTAGAAAACTTCATGTGAACTGCTGCACATACCATAAGCATATTTGGGAACCATGGTAGGAAGAAGGAAAAGTATCAGTAGTGATCAAGTTTCAGCCTGTCATTAAATATGCTAAAATTTAAAGATTTTAATAAACTAAAAGGCCCACTCATTCAAACAAACAAAGTGTATAATCCTACAGAAACAAGGATATAATGTCAAACAAAACAGAATTAACTTTCAGTTTTATGTGAAAGTATAATTTATAACCCTGAATAAGACAGATACTGTTAAAGGGTTGATTTCTGGTTAGACTGACAGATCAGCAGTGTATTTCTGTTAGAAATCTGTTGGCTCACACTGCAAGGGATGCATATTCCCTTGTATTTTTTCTTAGTATACATGCTGTAGTTAAGGTCAGTATGTGCAAGTGTTCCTCTTGTAAAAAATCCTAATGCAGGTGTCTTGGTCCAAATATGACAGTAATTTTAACATCAGTGAATCCTATTGAGTGCTACACAGAAAATGTGTTTTAAGTTCACTGTAAATCTGTTCTTTGTCAGTGTCTTACTTAGAATGTTTGATCACACTAAACCACACACAGTTGTGAATGATGGTTCATAGGATTAACACACAATACAACACTACATTATTGTCAATTTTAATAAAAAAGGAACGGCTTTAGTTTTTTTACAGGAAGTCACAGTTTTATTATAATCAAGACAATTACGGTACATTAAAGATAAATTATGTATTGGTAACTACCCAGAGAAAAAAAGGACTGCCTATTACATAATTCTATATCTTTGCTAGATTTTCTTTCTGGTTGGTTTGTTTTTAACAGAAAGACGGTCCCTTTACTTAACAATAAAAATGGAATAGGCATTTTTCTATTCCCAGGACAGACCAAATTCTGGTTTGTTTTGAGAATGGAAATATAGGCATTTCCTTGCTTCTAAAAAAATATACTCTAGAAACCTGAGGATGGAGGTACTTAAACTGGGGCTTCTCTTCTTCATCTTACCCTGTGTGATTAGCCCTCGCAAAACTTATTGCTTCACTGTTTACAATATTAAGTGGCTTTAAATTTCAGATAAAAAGTTATGCAAATAGTACGCTACCTTCCTATATTTAATATTTTTGCTGCCCGCTGTTGCATTTAGCACGTTTGCGTGCATCTGAAACATTAAAGCATGGTACTTAAGATTTAATTTGGAATTCATGATAATACAGAAGCTTATAAAAAATTAATCTGTGTGTAGACAAATGAGTGGTGTTTTGTCAGAGTTGTTCCCCTGGAAATTCTCTAGCCAGTTAAAAGTTGGTGAAGGGATGCCTTAGAGAAAATGCCCCACCTTTATGTCTTTTGTTACCTGACAGTATCCTGTGGCTTGTGGAGTTCCAAGGCTACTATGAGGCAAACCTGTGCTTTGCATGCAAGAAAAAACATGAAAAGGTTTGTCTATGCTCCTGCCACATCTCTCACTGCCTCCTTTTTGTATTCAGCTATAGTAAAAGCAAAAGCAAGTAAGGAAGCATAACATCAGCATGTCCACCTGAGAGGTGTGCAGGTGTACATGGAGATGTACAGGCACATAAAAGTACATGGAGAGTACACACATATGTATAAACATATACGCACGAGTTACAAGGGCTGTCTGAGGGAAGCCTATTACAAAAAGGCCAACATGGTATTGCACAGCAGCAGATGTGAGGGAAGGAATCTCAGTTTACGTTTGCTGTTCTAATTGCCCTTTCACATTAACACGTGAAAAGTCTTTTTCAGGGGTTGCAGCCACAGAGTGGCACGATTGTGTCCAGGGCCCAAACGACTCATCTTAGTTTGGAGGATCTTCATGTATGATGTCCTGCACTGATTTTTTTCTGGCAGTCTGGTTTGGAAGCATCTTGCTACTGAACCAAAAATTGGAGCAGAATAATAATCTGAATACTTACCCATTACCCCAGAAAGCTAGCCTTCTAATGTCAGTGCTGCTTTCCTTTTGGCCATATTAGCTACAAGGCACAACAGTTTTGTGACACACAGGATTACAGAATCATAGATTAGATTGGGTTTGAATGGATTTTGAAGGTCACGTAATCTAACCCCAAAATGGGTCCTTTTTCCACACCCATGAAACCAAAGCAAAAATACTGACTATATCCCTATTTATAAATATTTCCTGAAGCTTTTCCTATTAATGTTTCTGAATAAAAGTTCATGTCCTTATGGGACATTGCTATTACAGCTAAATACGGGAAATATTGCAGTAGGCCAGCTGTAATCTGAAAAATCCCTGTACCTTCCCCCCCCCCCCCCCCCCCCCCCCCCCCCCGTATTTCTATCTCTGCTTGGCTCACAGAACAACTAATTTGAAAATAATCCTTAAATTAATATTTTAAAGATTATTTTATTCTTGAATTACAGCTTAACTGTTTCTATACATAGCTTCTCTGAACGGTTGTTTAGGCACCTCAGCAAGAACTTTGCTATTCTCTGGTGCAGGATCTTGGAGCTGCATTACCCATTGACTTCAATGCAATTTATGGACGCTCAGAAGCCTTGGGCATCAGGCAGGTTTTTTAGTCCTAGCTGTGGATTTAAGCGCCTGACTTTAGGAATCCATATTCAGCAACAGGGATATGGGTATCTTCCTGTGTTGGGCTGGGTTTGGTTTTTTCTATGTACAAATCAGCAATTGAAATGCTCCATGGGTTAAAAACAATAACGAGTCCCGTGTGCTTTGAGTAGGGCAGGGCAGTCAGAAGCCGCACACCTGCTCAGGAGGCAGACACCTCCACGCCCTGCGCACGCTCCTGCTACCTAACCGAGGCGTTAAAAAGCCCAGCCCGACCATCCAAAACTAGAGCGAGCGTTCCGGGGAGCCCCACCCTCGCTCGTCTCCTGTTCCCCCCTGCCGTAACTCCAAGGGGCCGCTCTTAGCTTCTGCTGCAGCCGCTTTTCTTTCCGGTTAGCGACCGACGCCCGAGCGGCTCCCCCGCTCCCGCCAGGCGCTCATGCCGCTACCTGCGGGTGGAGGCCCGGAGCGCTATTAAACGGCGGCACCGCTGAGGCCCTTCCCGAGCGGAGCGCACCGGCCGGGCTGGGTTTTCGCTTCCTCCCTTCCCTTGCCTTGTCGACTAACCCCCTCTAGCGCTGAGCCGGCCGCATTTGACCTGCGGGCTGCCGGTAGCGGCGAGGCGAAGGGGCGCTTCTCCTCGCCTGCCTCACGCCCGCCCCACACTCTCCTCCGGAGGGCGGCTGAGGAGGAGCCGCCGCCCTAACGGCTCTCCCGCCCCTCCCTCCATCCCGTTTCCCCCCCTCCCCTCCCGCCCGCACCGGGCCGCCCGCTGGCTGGCGGGGCGCGCGTTCCGGAGCGCCCCCGGCGCGGGGGCCGCGCTGGCCTCCCGGCGGACCCGGTACCCGCCGGGCTGGGCGCAGCGGGGCGATCGTTCCGCGGGCGGCAGGGGAGCGGCGGCGGCACCACCACCAAAAAACTGCAGCCGGCTGCGCCGCACGCAAATCGGGAGGGAGCAGCGAGCATCACACCAGAGCCGCCCGATTTCTGATTGCTCCGCGGCAGAGGGGGAGAGGCAGAGACTGAGAGGGGCGAGCGGCAGAACCGGGGACGGCGGAGGGGTTGGGGATGCTGCCCCACAAGTTTCCTTGATCCCTTCAGGAGCGGGAGGAGGCGCCCGGCCCTTCTCATCCTCCCGCCTCGGAAGCTTTGCGGCGCGGGCGAGGCGCTCCGCCGTGGGAAACTGACGCCCCTCAGCGCTGCCGCCGGCCGGGGATGTGGGGGCCCGTGCGGCTCGGCCGGGGGAGGAGGAGGCTGCTCCAGCGAAGGAGGCTGCTGAAGCTGCTGGGGGCGCTTCTGCGGGGCTGACGCTGCCACCGGCCGGAACCGGCGGAGGGAGCGGGCTGCGACCCCCGCCCGCCGCTGCCCCTCGAAGTTGCCGAAGCGCTCCGGGCTTCCAGCGCCGCCGCCCCTCGCGGTAGGGCGGTCAACGGGGTCTCCCGACGCCCCCGCCCTCCGGGCCACCGCCGTGCTCCGGGACCCCGCTGGTGGATGCGCCCGCCCCGGCCCGAGCAGCCCCCGGTGGCACTGCAGGCAGCGCAGCCCGCCGGGCCGCACCGGACACCGGTGAGGCGGCGGCTGTGGACGCCGCGGCGGCGTTCCCCGCCGGCCTGAAGGAGGACGGGGAGCCTCGGCGGGCCGAGGACGCTGGGCGCTCGGCGGGCACCAGCCATGGGGTGTTGTGAGGTGAGGAGATTGCTCTGGAGAGTCGGCCTCTTCCTCCCCCTGCTGACAGCGCGCCCCGCCACCGCCGGTCACGTCGCCAGCAACCACGGTAAGGGCGGCCGAGGTGCGGGTGGGCTCCCGCCAACTTTCCGACGGGCGGGCGGGGAGGGGGCCCGCACCTGTGCCCCGCAGCGCTGGTGCCGCCCAGCCCGGGGAAGTGGGGTGGCAGCCGCGGTCGGTGTCGGGGCTTTGGGGGGCTCCTTGCGGCGAGCTCGGCCTCTCCTGGCCGCGGAGGGGGGCAGAGGGAGTTCGGGGCCCGGCGGTCACAGCTTCCTGCCGCCTGTGTCCGTGACCCCGCGGAAGTTGGGTGTTTGGCGACAGGGAAACTGGGGGACTCTGCTTCCTCCCCCCGCCCTTCTCCAGGAGGGGCGAGGTTTCGACCCCGCCGGGCGGCGCTGGGGACCGGGAGGTAACGCAGCGGCGGCCGGGACTGTCGGGGTGTCTACGGGCTCGGCAGAGCCACCCCTCAGCCGCTGAGGCTTGTGACTGAGCGGCCGAGCGGCAGGTAACCGAAAGTTACCTCCCGGCGAGGTGGAGCCGTAGCAGCTTTTTACTTGAAATACGGTTTTAAGGTTTCCTTCATTCTGCCGACCCAAAGCGCCCTCACAGTGGGTCTGGGAGGGCTCACTGCGCGTTAAGGGAGATTGCTATTGAAAGGTGCCTGACTGTCCTTAACGCCTAATTTTTAGGTGTTACGGTCTGATTGACCGAAAAACCGGCACATTTAAAGTCTTTGTCACAGGTGCATGCTCATCCGGTCTTACTCAAGACAGCGTTTGAAGGCGTGCGTTCAAGAAAAATGCCTCAGGATTAAGAAGGGAATCATCCCATTTAGAAAAATATAAATGCATAGCACATCGTGGGGATATGGAGTTTTGTGAGGAAGAATTGGAAAAAAACTCCAAACCCACTCATAACTTCTTGTGAAACATCGTGTTATATGTTATCGACCATCTGGATAGAGCAGAGCATTTCCTTATCTGTTTGTTTAATGTGCATCTCTATTTAAAGTTATGGACTAGGTAGGATGCATCTATTTCTAAATTAGGAGAGTCTGTCCTACTTTTGATATTATTTTTGTGCAATTTAGCTTTCATCTAATGGGATATTAGCGTGACGTGAATGAAAATATAGGAACTGAAGGGGTAGCCCTAATGTTGCTTCTGAGAGAAGTCATTTTACTTGCTATTATTGCAAGGAGTGCTGCAAATGGCTAAGGTGGAAAGTAATGATCAGACAAGACAAACTGGTTTTAGTCGTGGAGTGCTATCAGATATATAGTTCATATCTTTTCACACTTTCTACAGTCTGTTTTCAGTGTTCATTGTATCCATATGGGTAACAGTAAGAAGAGAGAATAAAATACATAGGAAAAAGGAAAATATGGTAGTACAGCAGCACATACTGACTGCAAATACTGAGCAGTCAGGGGCAGCTACAGCAGGGATGTTCCAAGTTAGTATTGTTCCTTTTCCTCTTCTACACTGCATGTGATGGATAATTTCAGTTTGTACTTGTCATATCAGTGCTATAATAGATTTTGCCCTTACTCATGTTTTAGAAGCCATTGGATTCTTACAGTAGCACAATGCAGTTTTCCTTTCTTGTCACTCTCATTAGTGCGTGTTATTCTCTGCCACATGTAAAGTGCCAACCATGTAAAGTGAACGTGGTTATAAAAAAGGAATCTATCTGCTGTGTTTTAAAATAGCCAAAACACAGTACGTGCATCACAGGTAAAGGATTTTTATATAGTAATACAAGTGGGATTATATTTCTAAACTAGGATTTGATTTCCCTGGGATTAAATGAGTAATGTTGGGGAAATAGTTACCAAAGCAGTTAAGCCCAAAGGAAAGTCTGTCAAGGGTGAAGTGCTTTTTTGATGTTGATGTAACTTTTCCCAAGAAGTTCAGGTTTTGCCTGCATGGAGCACTGATGAATTACTGAACTTCTGAATAACTTCTCTTGCTGCACCTTGTTTCAAAACTTCCAATGAAATGAGTGACTTCTTATCGTTGGTACTGTCACTGTACCGTCAAAGTCAAACTAGAAGCGTGTCACTGAAACCTGGCAAATAAACCCTCCAGACCGAAGGTGTAACTCATCAAAATGCACATGAATGGAAAATTTAATGGATACAGATGCACGCTCTACCACATTAATAAAATGCTAGCAGAAGAGTTTGCTGTCTGTGATGCTTTTCTCTAAATACAGGAATTGGATGAAAGAAAATCAGTACAATGAAGTTCCCCATTGTGTAAACACTTAAATGTGCGAGTTTAAAATGCTGGTTATTAACATTTGGAATCCCAGCTGTAAAGAGTATTTTGAAATCTAGTGAGGAAAAAACATCTTAAATTTCCATAAGGTGGTATTTTCTGACTCTACATCTTAGAAACATGTTTGCGATAATTGCTATTGGGTTTTTACTAATAATGCTAGTAATTATAATTTAGCTTGGCTTTACTCTCTCATACATTTTGTTTCTATTTTGTGTTTACAAACATAGCAGCATTAGTGCTAAATAGCAAAGGAATGTTTTATTTGGGTTTCTTGATTGTTTGGGGCAAAAAAGTGAAAGGGGAATAAGTTTATTATTCCAATTTGGTATCAGACAACCCTTCCACTTAGTGGATTATTTCCCATTATTAAAGAGGGATTTTTCAGAGACTTGATATACTACAGTCTTATTACTGTGTTGGGATTCATCTTTTTGTTTGTGCTTCTCAAACAGAAAGATAGATTTTATATATATATATATATAGTGTGTGTGCATATATATATACACACACAGTTTCAAGACTCTTAGGTTGTCATTCTTCACCCAGTAAATCAATGTGTATTGTCTTAAAGTACCTGTAGCAAGGCAGACGCAAAACAATACTGTCGACAGAGAAGTGAACTTACTCATTTATGTTAATGGAGTGGTAAGTTCCAAACCAAATTATGACTGTGCCAAGGACTGTTTTTTTCTGCTAAGGAAAACCTTGTAGGTAGGCAAGGCCATAGAGCTGCATAGGAACAATGTACCACTGCAGCCTGAAACAGAGCTGCTGGAAACATAAGCCTAAACTAATGGTGTAGGGTGAGTGCTTGCATGTTCGTCTAAATTTTTGTTATCATATCCATGACATCCAGTTATGAACAAGTTGCATTATTATGCAAGATTTCAGCCTGTGTTATATATATATTCTATAAGTTTGTTGTTTGATTGCCAGAACACAATGAATTGGGCAATTCCTCTCAAGCCTAAAAATACAGAAATAGGGTGTGAGCTGTGAACTTCTTTGTGCAAAATTTGTGTGATCTTTTAAGATAAAAGTTGCGTCAGGTTAACAGTTCAGTTGTGTCCTGGGCCAGGCATGTGCCTGCTGTAGCTTAAAAGATAATGGCTACATAAGGTAGCCATTATGTGTCACCGGACAATTAATTTCTGAAGTAAACTGTAGAACTTGATGAGCTTATAACATGTCACGTCTGTCAGCGAACTCTAAAAGGAAGTTGTTGCTTTTTCAAGTTACCGGGTACCTGTGTATTTTGTTAGATTATGCAAGGTTGGTCTTTTTATGCTCCCTTTTAAAAGGCACTTCTATTCATTTTCTTCCTCTTACAAAAAAAGTTGAAGTAAGAAATAATGCCAGATGTCAGTTCCAAAATTCCTATAGCCTTTATTTTCACAGTGAGTACACTTGATGTAAATTGGGTAGCTCAAAGTAGGTAATAAAGCTTTTTGGTTCTGGTGTTAAAATCTCAGGCAGATTACTAATGACCTTGAGTTATTCATCAGTTCATAGAAGTTGGCTTATTTTTATTCACATATTTATTTTTACATAAGTGCAATCCATCACAGATAAGCACTTTTTGAATACAGCACTCAGAATGTTCTTGTAGCAATGAGACCAAGGACTAAGTGTCTGTAGAGACTGAAATTCTCTCTGAATGAAACTCATGTTTTAGTGCTAGAGGATATCTCTTACTTAGAGGGCTTAGGGTCCTGTCAGGCTGTGCTGCTGCCTGTATTGTACTTGTCCTGGTGGATTCTGCTGCTCAGTTATCCAACTAGTAGTTTTGTATTTACATCATTATGAAAAATGAGAAAATAAGCAAAACCACTGCAGAACAAGTGTGTCGTTCCTTTTTAAGTGTGCAGCTAAAGTCAGGAGCAAAATAGTATTTTAGTTTCAGCTATTAAGACATCTAAAAAAGATTTTTACCCGTGTCCCACACCCATATAGACTTGAGTGCTAAATGAAGACTTAGCAGCTCTGGCAGTTGTAGATATGCATAGAATGACTAGTTATCCAAAAGCCTTGATCTGTATGCCATAAGTATGAGATGAACAGATTTGCAGTGAATGCCTCATGATGTATTCCTGGTGGTGCGTTTGGCAGCACTGAGTGCTGTTTGGATATCTTGTTAATTTGTTTTGGACAAATGAGAATGATTGGTATGGAAAGAAGAAATATTTAAATATGTATGGCTTGAGCAGATACAGTTTGAAACCAAGTTGGCACAGTAGCTCTCCTGTAATTTGAGGGTGGCAAAACACCACAGAGGAACTGAAGTGTTTCCAAACCTGTTTATATATATATAACTTGGCCTTGTTGAAGAAGGAGGCAAGTCAAAATCAAGCTAAATGTTATAGGGAAATAAGGAAAAACAAGCAGAAGAGAAGAGTTGACTGTTAGTGAGCAGTGTTTTTTCCATCTCTCATGATTTATTCAGAGATCAGTGTTTCCAGTTTCAGTCAGCATCTTGCCTGCATCGAGAAACAAGCCACCATAGTTCCTAGAAAACAGACTGACACCGGTGCAGACGGGATGACTGTCCTGCATCTGCCTACTCTTCTGAGGGCCTTTTCAAAGCATCTGCTGCTGGCTGCTCTCAAATTGGCCTTCAGCATTGGATCAGATACACCTTGGGTTTCATCCAGAATGACTGTTCTTCCCCTCCTATGAGTTTAACAGTTAATTTTTGGCCAGACAACACTAATTTTGGCAAGTCAAATAATTTACAAATGAGAGAAGGAAAAAGCATGTAGGAAAC